TACTCCCTCCGTCCCAATTTATAGCGCCTGTTTCGATTTACGATGTTTGACTGAAATTATTTTCAAATCCTTTTATATGGCAAATGGTATAGAGTTAAAAATAAAAACTACATATCAAAATACTACATCAAAAGATCTACAAAATTTATAGTGACGATAGTACTTTATTTTATCAAATTGCTAATGAAAATAGAGAAAGAAAGTAAATGAAGTTTGACCTTGTAAATAGTGAACATGCACTATATATTGGGACGAAGGGAGTAATACTAAATGAATTATGTTGTACGAAATTATTTAATATCACTAGGGGTTACAAATACTTTATTTAATGGGTTAATTAGTGGTCACTGGGGGCATTCTTTGTTTTTTGTTGGGGGAAGCTATACATAAAACAAAAATAAGTAAAAAAATTTCTTTTTTTGACTGGGGGCAGTTGCCCCCATATGCTCCAAGGTAGATTCGCCCATGCTTACGGTGCGATTGATACAAATCAATTTCAGACAAATTCATCTTATCAAACGACAAATTAAAGAAAATTTTGGATTCACTTCAAACTAAATTTAAATCCATTGAAGATGGTTAGAATTAACAAGATGGCTCATGTAGAACAAAAGGTGGTAGGTACTTCTAATGCAACATTTTCTTTTGAAGAATTACAAGAACTTAAGAACAAGATAGAGAAACTTATAGAAGCGCCTGTATAATTAATTGATGTAGAGGAAACTAATTTTGTTAAGCCTAATACCTAGTAATTTAAGACAAAAATACGGAGTATAGTTTTAGGCATATGCCACTTAGAAATAACTTTTAAATTAATAATTTCTGATCACCTACATATATTTATTCTAGTAATGATAATTATAAGCGTTTCGTGTAAGTGATTCAGGCCTTGTTTGAAAAAAGTGTTTTCGATTAGCGTTAGCGTTTTGGATAAAATATTAACGGTGTAGATTAATTCGGAAAACGCTAACGCTAAAGGCTAGGCTACCGTCAGATAGCCTTTTCAAAACGCTAACGTTAATCTCTATTCTCTAACGCTGATGCCAAACGGGGGCTCAATATAGGACCGAGGGAGTAAATGTTTTGCCTTTGTCTAAGCGTTTCGTGTAAGTGATTTGGGTGTTTTAAATGACCTAGCTGTGCAAAAAGAGTTTGGACAATCGATTATCCTTCTTATGTCATGAATTTACGAACGGGGCACCGTAGGACTTCTGGATATAATTGCAATTCTTTAAAGAAAAAATTCACACCATTTTCCTAGTTTTTGTATTAGAACTCACCACATTTGTTAATGCTATAACAATAAAATCTATTTTTTCCACAAATTTTCGACCAAATAGTAGAAAATTATTATAATTTTCAAGAAGTCATTTTCTAAAAGCCATTTTCCATCATTCTAGAACCATATTTTTGATCTGCGACAATGTTAGCGCAGTTTGTTTCATATGAAGCACCAACGTAACACAAAAGCACTCACATGTGTTCTCTTCGTGGACTTCCGATGGCAAAATGGAAAGCATGGTCCACCATAGACCTACATATCACCGTAATAATCATTTTCTTATTACTCAATTTTTTTTAATTAAAAAATAAAAAAGGATTTTTAATGTGTGATGAGAATGTCATCAAAAATGGTATGCAACTAAGGAACACTAAAGAAATAATCTAAATATATATAATTACTCCATTCATCCCAAAATGGATACTACTGTCACTATTACGATCTCTCGATAAATTTTGTTTATTAATATATTTTTGTTGACAATTTAATAAAATAAAATATTCTTGTCACATCTTGTTTATGTACTTTTAAACAGTGTAATTTTTTGTGTACTTTTAAACAGAGTAAATTTTTTTATGTACTTTTAAACAGTGTAATTTATACTTTTTATTTCTATATTAATTCGTAATTAAAATGATTTTAAGAGTAATAAAATTTTGCACGTTGTTTTGAGTGTGACATCCAATATGAGACGAAGGGAGCATTACATTTAATATTGTTATTATTTAGGGTGGTGCTACTTGCTATATCTACCCACATTTTTTTTCTATATCCACTATGTATATACTCCCTTCGTCCCATAAAACATTTCCTGTTTCAAAAAAGGCACGCCCTTAAAATGAGTAATTTTGGTGTTATTTTCTAATTTTGTCCTTACTTTATAAAAGAGTAGGATAAGATGTGTAGAATAGATTAGTCATAACTAAAAAATAACACTAAAATTACTCATTTTAAAGGCGTGCCATTTTTTAAACAGGAAATGTTTTATGGGACGGAGTGAGTAGTATATAATGTCCCTTAAACTTGGTGGCCTCCAATATGGGACGAAGGGAGTATTACAATTTTGATTATAATTTTTTTGGGGAATTTATCTAAATAGCACTAAAACATAATG